ATAGAAGACAGTTATCTCTAACCAATTATTTTTTGCATTTGAACATAGCTGTTTCTTTTGCTATGCAGATGAAATACAAGCGGTGCCCAAATTATATTTGGTATGAAACAGACACATTAATTAAAGATCTATAAAAGTTGTACTTGTTTTCAACTGCACTGAAAAATGTACCAAAACCTAAAGAGTTATTACACATCATACTTCTAGTAAGATGTCAAATGTCATAATATTCTTATTCAAAGTTCTCCTGCTCAAGCAACAATTTTATCAGCTATTCATTTAGTACATTAAGTTATTTATACGACATGTGACCTAACAAATAAAGATTTGGACAAGGCAGTCTGAATTAGACATATAGAATCCCAGCCAATCCACCTCCACTATATTGCATTAGCAACAGGGGAGCAGAATTTAGAAACAAACTATTGGTGATCAATACAATGCCTTTTAATTTACAGGCTTTTTCCTATTATATTTGAAAATGCTGTGATAATAAAATTAATTTGCAACATATTTTTTTTCAACACATAACATACAAGCAATCCCTACTGCTACTATGAAATACGGGGAAAACATATTTCTGTGCCCTCTTTTTCTCCAAATTCCCCTTGTAGATATATAATTGATATATTGATATAAATATATTTAATTGTAGTTGGTTATAGTTATTGAAGTTAAATCATTTATCAGTGATTGTGACTATATTCAGAGAAAAGTTCCGCAGTCATTTTAGCCACTTCAATAGAAAAGACAGAGATGGCATGAGCATTCTCAATTGTCCCATGGTTATTACTGGCTAATACATAAATAAGATGTCAATTAATCAGATATGCTAATTGAAATGATTGTAAACATAGGGAGTAGTTTATTATGCAAAGTATTTCTCTGTAACATTATGAGGCTCTGTCTTTTGGTTTCCAGAATATATTAATATTTATTTTTAATTAATGGAAGGAGAACCATGTTAGGAATGTAAGTCACCTAACAGTTAGGTTGGAAACTATATAAACCAAGATAGACATTTTAATACTGCCTCTTTAAGGGAATGCTAAAATTGTAATTGGGTGTGGTTCCTCAAATGGCCATAAGATGGAGCCAGAAACCTGGGTTGTTCCGTTCTATTGTTGCTGAGAGTGTTGCCGTTCCTGCATTTTTCCCTATTGACTGTTGCTGATTGTTGATGTGAGTCTATTTACTGAACTGTTTTTGATACTGGACTTTGTTATTGGATTATCCCTGGACTGAAAACTGACTGGTTTAACCGTGAATGACTTGGACTGTTTGTTGAACTTTGCTTAACCGTTTACTGGAAGTAAAAACCTACATTTTACTATACAGTATATCTGTGTGCTGGTTGTGTGTTATTCTTCACCACTCTCACTACGTGTCCCTGTGTGCGCTCATTCTCCTAATGGGGAATTACCTCAACAAACTATAAAAATATAATGTTAGATTATAGATCACAGTGCCATAAGTATGGCTGTACTAATCAGTCTAAATTTGATCCATATGAATGTTGCAGCTACTTGTGGATTATTTCATTCTATTAAATGTCAAACTGAATGTTTTTTAAAAAATAGTGCTAGGAAGAAAATAGTACTTTGTATATTTTATACAGAATATTAATTTTTCCAGAAATACATGGATTTTTCTATGTAATGAAATGTAATTATTTTCCCCTAATATAATTATTCTAGTATATAATTTCTCCTGAACAATTTTCCTATTATTCAGTTCGTTAGCATGCAATTTAACTGGTCTTTTTTTAAAAAAAAATCTTTCAAATATGGTATTGATATAAAAGCTTAAAATGATAAATAAAAGTAGTGCTGGTCAATAAAAAATAATAAATTGTCCTATTTTTACTGTTTGCTGTTCTTTTTTGAACTTCTAAACAGTTATATCAATTTAAAAAATATTTATCATACTTGTTTTGTTCCTTTTAAAATATAACATTACATTGTCCCAAAGGTGCTTTTGCATGAGGCAACTGGACTTTCTTGATTTTTTCTTTGAAGACGTTTTGCTTCTCATTCAAGAAGCTTCTTCAGCTCTGACAGGATAGTTGGGAATGGAAGGATTTATATTCCTTGCAGACAGCTGGTCATTTGCATCCTTTTAAAGAGCCATTGAAACACTTGGGGGTTTATCTGTGTCCTCAAGGTCACCTGAGTAGTGCTCTTGGTTCCTGTAGTCTGCAGTTTTTTCCTCTGGAAATCCATTCCTACTCCCACATCATTCAAAGAGTGTTCATCCCAAATTGTATAGCTAAAAGTCTGTAGAGATTCTCAGTCATTGAGGTCATGGGACAACTTTTTTTCATGGGACAAATTTTCAATTTCATTGTACACATCTGCAATAAAAGTTTGTTTGATTGGTTGATTGATTGATTGATTGATAACTGAGAATCTCTGCAGACTTATATCATTACATTGCAGTCATATTTATCTATACCTATGGCAAACAAATCTTCCTATTAAACAGAAAACATCTTCCATAAGGCCAAGATTTAATTGATCCCTTTTTCTTTTTTAAGTTATAAGTAATCTTTCTATATCAAGATCTGCCAAAAAAAGAACTATAATTCATTTTGCATTGTATCCCATGAGATCAAAGTACAAATCATAAGAATTTCAATTTCCATCCTAAGAACTTCATGTAGTAGCACTAATTATTTAATTAAAACATAGAAGCAGAATTTATTTCCTTAGGGTTACAATGTATTCATGGAGTCTCTAAATTCTCTTTCTCTTTTTTGGTATCTACCCCCAAGATATCATTCTCCTTATTTTCTTTACATTTTCCTATTTTTTAAAAAAATGAAATCAATTCATACCTGGAAGCTAAACAACTGCCTTTCCAAATTATAAATGATAGATAATTTTTGAGAACACACACTGGCCCGGTGTATAACAAAAGATAGTTATATTAAGTTTCAGTTAATCGGATTAATTTTAATAATGGCAGTAAGAACAACTTCACAATAGCTGAATTAATTATTGAGGGAGATATTGAGCTTCCTTTTACTGGATGTGTTCAAGCAGGTGGTTAAACTGGTACTTATTAGGAATACTTTAAATGGGATTCCATGCACTGAGCAATGGACTGATATTGAAAGCCAAAATAATCCCTTTAAAAGTTTTGATTTTACAAAAGTGTGAGGGAAGTAGCAGTGTTTTGACTCTCCACGAACAAGAGTAAATTTTTGTCTTAACTATTTAAATAGTTAATTTTATCATGGCATGTTCAGGTACAGAGAAAAGACCATGTGTTTTCCATTTCAAGTTTGCAAAAACAATCAGTTGTATTATTGATTGTTGCAAGTAACTAAGTGCGTGTGAAGTTTGGCTGCATTTGGCTGGGCTCAGGTGGTACAGTGGCAATAAGGTTTGTCATTAATTTTATGGTGCAGGTGGTTTCAGTCTTTTTTTCTTTTGCTGGATATACAAGTCCATTTCACTTGAACCATCTCCTTTATTTAATTTTGTTGTCTGGCTGATGTTTGGCACTGAAAGATATGACCAGTGTTATTAGTTTCTTGAGAAGACTGATTGTTCAGCTGAATAATATTTTGAACTGTTCCATTCATTTATCAGTGCTATATTTGCTTGCTTGCTTTCCAGGGAAGACCTGGAATGCTTTCATACAAATGATGCCAACCTGTTTATTCCTAACAGTTATTTATAAAAGTGAAAAATGTTAACATAAAAATACTCATATTTACATCAATTTGTGAAACACACATCCAAAAAAGTGTCTGTTCCTCATTCACTTTTCTTACAGTTTAAACCAATGTCATCTTAAGCAAATGTTGTCATTTATAATAACTGATTCCATGATATCCTGAATCCTATTTCTTTGAAACTTGACATCTTTCTCCAAAGCAAAACTATTTCACTGTTAATATTTACATATACCTAATATGTGTCAATATGTGTTTAATGTTTAATTTCCAATAAATAATCTGTGGAAATCTGAAAAATTTATTTTGCTGGAATATTTCAGTATAGAGCAGCATTGTACTACAGATTTAATTGTAGCTCATGGAATTACTACTGTGTGACTGATTTAACACATTTTAGATCGAAACTTTTTGCCATTATCTTTCCAAAATATCCTGTATATTTTACTTCCTGCATACACTTAGAAATAGCACTTAGTATTTAAACTTATATATCACTTCATAGTGTTTTACAGCACTCTGTAAGTGGTTTACAGAGTCAGCATATTGCCCCAACAATCTAGGTTCTCATTTTACTGACCTCGGAAAGATGAAAGGCTGAGTCAACCTTGAACAGGTCAGGGCTGAACTCCTGGCAGTAGACAAAGTCAGCCTGCAATACTGCATTTTAACCACTGCATCACCACGGCTCCACTTATTGGTCTTTGGCCATTACCTTGATCCTTTGAAAATATCTGTAAGAATCTTGCCCAAAAGGTTAAAAGAGAGTAAAAGTCAAGTGCATTAATAGAAACTTTGCCAATCTGCTGTTTTATGACTGTAAATGATGATTTTTTCAAACCAATATTACTGAAACCAGTTATTTATTTTTTTCTTTATCTATATTTCAGGAAACCATTACAGAGAAGCATAGAAGTAAATTTGTGATCTGGCATGCTATTTTCAGCTTTTTGTTTTACTATATTGAACACAACTCTCCTCATATATTTAACATAATGAGATGTTGAATGTATCCTAAACTGAACAGTTTTTCCATCATATGTTACAGAAATGATTTTTTAATGCTATATTTCAGGCTAGGATATATTTTCACACCTAAAATATGTGTAATAAATGATGTTAGAACTATAAGTAGAATTATTTAACTCCAAAATAATATTGTATAAGCCATTGTCTTCTTACAGCTTACAGCTATAAGAGTATCAGCCCAATTATATCATTTCAAACATATATAACAGTGCTGAACATATTGATATTCCTAAATAAATATTTATGTATGAATTAGTATTCATGACAATTTGTGGTTCCTTTTCAATAGGAGGAGAAGTCACAAAGCCCAGATTTACTCAGTATTTTCATGGCAGTCTTGCCAGTCTTACCATACGGCCAGGCAAAATTAAGAGTCAAAAAGTGATTTCCTGCTTGCAGGCTTGCAAGGAAGGTCTGGATATTAATTCCCTGGAGAGCCTTGGCCAAGGAATAAAGGTAAGAAATGAACTGATACAATCTTTACTAACATCTAAAACTGATTTATGAAGTGATTTATGAAGTGATTTATGAAGCAGAATACAAAAGCACTCCAAGAAGCAATCTAATTTGCCATAAAGTCACACAAAGACATAGTAAAAGTGGACTGTTGGGACAATGACTGTGCTCTCTCTAGTGTAAACCTATGGAAATCAAATAGTGTAGGTGTTTCACAACCATTCAGGATTTCCATTTCATTCTGTCTGAAATGATTCTGGATAGAAGCAAGTGAGTTTCCCATGAGAGACAACACACACACACATATTAACAGGTATGTAAAATCAAAGAACACTTGTGAAAGACTTCACACACACACTTCAAAAAACCCTCTGCAAGTTGTGGAAGTATGACACTAAAATTTCATAACTAGAACTGTCTGCAAAAGATAGATCCCTTTTTCTTATTGTTTAACATAACATATCAGCATGATCAAAAAGGGTTCTAGCACAAATTACAAAATTGAGGACTTACTTGGATCTTTGCATCAAGTCAACTTCTGCTTTTGCACAGTACTAAACAGCCACAAATTACTTTTTTATTTTTTATTCTAAGAAATAATTCTAATTCATCTGAACTTTTTTAAAAAGTCAAACTTCTAATGCAGATTTCACAAACTGCAACACATTATGCATACAAATCATATAACATCTCCACCAGTGGGAGTAACCCTGAGTATATAAATATTGAAAAAAAGTGGAACGAACATATTACAGGTGCATTCAATCTATCAGATTCACTGAGTGCTGTACTTTCCACAATTTTTATTCTTTTAAATTAAAATACTTATATTGAAAACAGAACTTGTGGTAAACAGAATATTCATTTTGTTTGTCATTAAAGATACTAGAAACTCTTTCAACATGTTAGCTATAGCAAATCAACACTCTCAAATTCTGTAAAGACTGAAAATAAGTTCGGCCAAAATGCATTGCATTGTATTACATTATACACTGCTCAAAAAAATAAAGGGAACACTTAAACAACACAATGTAACTCCAAGTCAATCACACTTCTGTGAAATCAAACTGTCCACTTAGGTAGCAACACTGATTGACAATCAATTTCACATGCTGTTGTGCAAATGGAATAGAGAACAGGTGGAAAGCATAGGCAGTTAGCAAGACATCCCCAATAAAGGAGTGGTTCTGCATGTGGTGACCACAGACCACTTCTCAGTTCCTATGCTTTCTGACTGATGGTTTGGCCATTTTGAATGCTGGCAGTGCTGTCACTCTAGTGGTAGCATGAGACAGAGTCTACAACCCACACAAGTGGCTCAGGTAGTACAGCTCATCCAGGATGGCACATCAATGTGAGCTGTGGCAAGAAGGTTTGCTGTGTCTGTCAGCGCAGTGTCCAGAGCATGGAGGCGCTACCAGGAGACAGGCCAGTACATCAGGAGACATGGAGGGCAACAACCCAGTACCAGGACTGCTACCTTTGCCTTTGTGCAAGGAGAGACAGGAGGAGCCCTGCCAGAGCCCTGCAAAATGACCTCCAGCAGGCCACAGATGTGCATGTGGATGCTCAAACAGTCAGAAACAGTCGCCATGAGGGTGGTATGAGGGCCTGACGTCCACAGGTGGGGGTTGTGCTTATAGCCCAACACCGTGCAGGATTTTTGGCATTTGCCAGAGAACACCAAGATTGGCAAATTCACCACTGGTGCCCGTGCTCTTCACAGATGACAGCAGGTTCACACTGAGTATATGTGACAGATGTAACTGGGTCTGGAGACGCCATGGAGAACGTTCTGCTGCCTGCAACATCCTCCAGCATGACCAGTTTGGCAGTGTGTCAGTAATGGTGTGGGGTGGCATTTCTTTAGGGGGCCGCACAGCCCTCCATGTGCTTGCCAAAGGTAGCCTGACTGCCATTAGGTACTGAGGTGAGATCCTCAGACCCCTTGTGAGACCATATGCTAGTACGGTTGGCCCTGGCTACCTCCTAATGCAAGACAATGCTAGACCTCATGTGGCTGGAGTATGTCAGCAGTTCCTGCAAGACGAAGGCATTGATGCTATGGACTGGCCCACCCGTTCCCCAGACCTGAATCCAATTGAGCACCCCTGGGACACATTTGTCTCACTCCATCCACCAATGCCACATTGCACCACAGACTTTCTAGGAGTTGGGGGATGCTTTAGTCCAGGTGTGGGAGGAGATCCCTCAGGAGACCATCCGCCACCTCATCAGAAGCATGCCCAGGCATTGTAGGGAGGTCATACAGGCATGTGGAGGCCACACACACTACTGAGCCTCATTTTGACTTGTTTTAAGGACATTACATCAAAGTTGGATCGGCCTGTAGTGTTTTTATCCACTTTAATTTTGAGTGTAATTCCAAATCCAGGCCTCCATGGGTTACTAAATTTGATCCCATTGATAATTTTTGTGTGATTTTGTTGTCAGCACATTCAACTATGTAATGAACAAAGTATTTGATAAGAATATTTCATTCATTCAGATCTAGGATGTCTTATTTTTGTGTTCTCTTTATTTTTTTGAGCAGTGTAATTTTTTCTGACTTCAAATTCAATTTGTGGCATTTCGTAAATCCAAGCAGTCCTCGAATAACAACAGTTAATTTAGTGACCATTCAATGTTACAACGGCACTGAAAAAAGTGACTTATGATCATTTTTCACACTTACAACCATTGCAGCATCCTCATAGTCACATGATCAAAATTAAAATGCTTGGCAATTGGTTCATATTTATGATGGTTTCAATATGCTTCCTCCTTACAAGCAAAGTCAATCAGTGTTTCACTTAAACAGCTGTGGGACAAATGGTCATAAAATGAGGCAAAATTCACTTGACAAATGTTTCATGTAGCAACACAAATTTTGGGCTCAATTATGGTCAAAAGTCAACTCCTGTTCATTTGAGCATTTATCCATTCATATCAATGTACTCACCCATCAGGTTTCACAATACCTAATTAATGAAAGGCTGTGTGATATAAATGAAATATTGAATAATACTTGCGTTATTCAAAAAACATTTTAAAAAATGATGTCAGTCCTCTCAAGTAAACCAGACAGGAAACCCAACTAAATAAGCTAATCCTATTTTATTATAATTCTACATTATCAGAATCTTGCAAGACTTGAAGATACAAACTTCCCGCCTCTACTTTTAACCTTCTGATCAATTTGGGTGGGTTTTCCTAAACTACTTTCTCTGAGCATTAAGCTCCATCTCTTGTCTGCTTGTTTCCTGGGTAACATCCCTTCCCCTCATTCCCCAGGTTCATTCACATATTCCATTACAAAAAAGCCAACATGATAGTTACAACTGCCTGATCAAAACCATACTTCTTGGTAAATACTTGACATTAACACATGTATAAAAGGGAAAGGTCTTTGATTTCAGTGTCATCCCCATAGAGGTTCCAGTTCAATATGAAATGTGATATAAAAACTAAACTTTGTACATATTATGAATACACTGTAAATATAGCATTTATACAACATCTATTAATATTGCTTGCAGTGTACTGCTTGCTGTTCTTGGAGTGAGGGTAAGGAGGAATCATTAAAAAAGAAGGCATAAACTGATTCCATTACACAGTAAGAGACTATCATGTTTATCGATCAGATCTAAATTCTTAGAGGAGGTGGTGTTGCTATCTTCTATAAAACGTCCTTACATCTAAAAAACATCCAAGTTACCCAGGAGCTTGCTCTTCCAGAGACCATCATCAGTGAACTGTCCTTAAATATCACATTTTGATTCTTATTGTTACGGAGCCCCTGATTATGACATCGAACAAGTAAACAAGCTAAATTCACTACTAACATGGTCATAATCCTGCCCACACGCTTTTATCTTTCTTGGTGACTTTAATCTACCTCATATTGACTGGACCCTAAATGAATATACAACTGAACCCATATATGCAACCTTCTACAATGCAGTAACAAGTCTGGGACTAGAACTACTAGTAACCAACAACACTAGACTTAACAACTGCCTCGATCTCATCTTCTGCAATAGTTTGAATTTAATTTATGGAATGCAAACTAAAGAACCCTTTCCAACAGTGACCACAATGATTGACTTTTGTCTCAACATACGCCCACACAAAAACCATCACAATCACGTAATCCCCAATCATAACTTCAAAAAAGGCAACTATGATTTTATAGACAACGATCTCTCATCCCTTGATTGGCAATCACTATTCAGCGGATGCAATACTGTTGAAGACCATTACAATATATTTTTACTTGAAGTCAAAAGAGTCATCAAACTATATGTACCAATAATAACTCCCAAAACAAAACAAACAAACAACAGATTACCCATAACAATAAGGAAACTTCAATCCAAAAAGAGATCACTCTGGCAGAAAAACGAATCTGGTCACATTGTCAACTTCAAAAGCTGATACAAAAATTTATGCCACCAGATAAAGACTGAATGCACCAATTATCACATTAAACAAGAGGAAAACCTTCTATACACCAATTCTACCCTCACTTTTTACAATTTTGTAAACAACAAACTAAAAGACTCAAGGTCCATCCCACCCCTGATAGGACCTAATGATAAAGACTGCAACGATGACACCATTAAAGCCAACCTCTTTAACACATTCTTTGGCTCAGTATTTGTAAACAGCAATGGATCATGCCCAGTATTTCCTAGCCGAACCACAGAAAACTACAATGATCTAATACATATCGATTTTACAGAAGTCAATGTTGAAAAAGCACTACGCAATCTAAAACCATCTCTATCTATTGGACCAGACAGAATATGTGCCTACTTCTTAAAAAAGCTATCCACTGCCATAGCAGAACCTCTTTGAAAAATCTTTCAGGACCAGCTCCTTGCCTAACCTATGGTCACAAGCCACGGTCATCCCCATCTTCAAAAAGGGAGACCCCAGCCTACTTGAAAATTACAGACCAATCTCCTTATGCTGCGTCACCTGTAAAGTCATGGAATCAATTATTAACCAACCCATTATGCTCCACTTAGAGACAAACAACGTACTCTCCAATAAACAATTTGGTTTCAGAAAAAAAATATATCCTGTAATCTGTAACTCTTACACTGCAAAAACCTATGGACTACATAACTTGATCAGGGCAAAGCAATATATGCAATCTACATAGACTTCGGTAAAGCCTTTGATTCAGTGGTACATGACAAACTACTCCTAAAACTAAAATCTTACGGTATATCTGGACAACTGCATAACTGGATAGAAGCATTCCTGTCAAACAGACAACAAATGGTCAAAATTGGGAGTGTCCTATCAAATTCTGTACCTGTCAATAGTGTTGTCCCCCAAGGCAGTGTTCTAGGACCAACTCTCTTCATACTCTACCTAAATGACCTCTGTGATCACATTAAGAGCAACTGCATTCTCTTCGCTGATGATGTAAAGCTGTTCAATACCACAGACAATACTGCTACCCTTCAAAAAGACCTTGATTATGTATCAGAATGGTCAAACAAATGGCAACTTCAAATCTCAACAAATAAATGCTCTGTCTTACATATTGGCAAAAAAAAAATCAGAAAATAAAATACAAGCTAAATAGTCAAGACCTTGTTGATGATCCAAGCTCTGTAAAGGACCTTGGAATACTCATCTCTAATGATCTAAGTGCTAGAACCCACTGTAACTACATAGCCAAAAAGGCATTAAGAGTTGTTAACCTAATCTTACGTAGCTTTTTCTCCGGTAATATCACACTACTAACTAGAGCATACAAAACATTTGCTAGAGCAATACTCGAATACAGCTCATCAGTCTGGAACCCACATTACGTATCTGATATTAGCACAGTTGAGAAAGTCCAGAAATATTTCACAAGAAGAGTTCTCCACTCTTCTACTCATTGTAGAATACCTTATGCCACCAGACTTGAAATTCTAGACCTAGAAAACCTTGAATTACCACATCTTCAGTCTGATATAAGTATGGTATATAAAATGACTTACCTGTCAATGAATACTTCAGCTTCAACCACAACAATACAAGAGCACAAAATAGATACAAACTAAAGATAAACCACACCAAACCTGATTGCAGGAAATACAACTTCAGCAACAGAGTGATCAATGTCTGGAATACTCTACCTGACTCTGTGGTTTCTTCCCCAAACCCCAAAAACTTTAACCTTAGACTGTCTACTATTGATCTCACCCCTTTCCTAAGAGGTCTGTAGGGGGCATGCATAAGCGCACCAACATGCCTACCGTCCCTGTTTCTTTCATTTTTCTTATATGTCATAACTATGTTTTTACTTATACCTATTATCTTGTAAGCAATTGACAAACCAAATTAAAAATAAATAAATAAATAAATACATAAATACATAAATAAATTGTTCTAATGGTCAGGAAATTTGTCCTTAATTCTAGGTTGCTAATTCATCATGTACCTTTAGAAAAGGAAAACAGGAACTCAAGCTTTATTACTGCTCCTCAATTTTTATCAAATGTTTCTTCCTTCTACAAGAGGAAACTTTGGCTGCAGTGCTTCTTTGTTTACTGCAAAAAGGGTTCAGTGGCAGTGTACTTAACAGCATGTGTGCTTTATAGAAATTTTAAAAAATACTTCTTTGCTTCATTATGAAAAAAGGAGCTGCTGCTTACTTACACTTTTCCTTACAATATTGGAACTGTGTTTCATCACAATGCCAAGCAACACAGATGTGCCTGTTTGTTATTATTTTTTATTTATTTATTTTATTTGTCAATTGCTTACAAGATAATAGGTATAAGTAAAAACATAGTTATGAATACATGGATACATATAAGAAAAATAAAAAATATAAAAGAAACAATATTATTATTCTAATTATTCTAAGACTTTGTCTTTTTTTGAAAGAAACTATGTTCAAATTGAAAAAAAAAGGCTCCAGCTTTATTCCAGGAGTTTTAAAAAGTCCTCAGCTCTTTCCGTGGATGTACTTTTGAAATTTATACTGACTTAAATCTCTTTTGGGGATCTTTTCTAATACAAATCCTATGCCCTTAATATTTCTATGCATCATTACAGTCTCTTGGTTAATGCTAATGATTACTCACTCATCTATTGCCAGGAATAACAATAGCCAGAGGTTATTGTCTGACTCACCTGCTACATAAATGCCAGATTTTAAACTGCCATCACTGCTGGAACTCTTAATGCTGAAGGCCCCCCCACTACCATTTCAAGCTGATCAAATTGCAAGATTGCCTGCTTGAGACCCCCAAGTAACTCGTGTTAAACTGGCTATACAAGAGTTGGCCAGTTCACAGGCTACTAGAATTTAAACCATTCAAAACCATCAATTTGAGACATCTCACCATAAGTTTTTTTTTTTCCTAGCAGGGAAATTCTGTTACTGTAAGAAGCCATCAAACTGTCATACTTCCTGAAACATTGTGAATGTTTTGGCAAGAAGTATGTTTGTTGGGTAGGGATTGATCTGGGCAGTGGAAAAAATAGTATTCCGCCCTGGAAGTAATCAAAACACCTTGTGATGACTCCCTATTGATTTTGTGAGACTATTTCAGAAAAAGAACTAATGATGCTACATTAACCCAATAGCTAGACTGTGGAGATGATGCAGATAATCTTGGATTAAATGAAGCAAATTATTGGAAGATACTAGGACAGCTTCCTTCTTGTATAACATACTACTCCTTGCTCAAAACATGAATAAGTTCTGGTGAATTACATATGGGGCAATGAATATAAAATAGGCTTGACTTTTCATCCTTTGTAATATTTACAAAGTAAGCAAGGATTGGAAATGTGCTTTATTTTCAAAACTGGTTGGAGTTGATGCCCTTGCAGCAGAGTTAGTTGAACATTACTCCAAACATTGTTTTTGCCTTCAGGAGTTACCAAAGGAAATTTCCCCGAATCTTGTATAACTTATCAGTTGAACCCAGAAATCATTATTGAGAAAGCTTCTTCTTGCTTGATGAAATTATCTTACTGTAACTAAAGAGTAAAGATGTATTTGTTATGTATTAGTAATACTTTTGGGCATCCTGAAGTTCATGCAGTTCTTCAATGAATCATAGCTGCTATTTTGTAAGTAGTCTGACCAGGTGTTTAAAAGAAGTAATCATGCATGGGAATGTTGCATTTCAATATTCACCCTTACTACTTGCATCCCAAGGTTCACAACTTTCCCATCCTTTAGGAATGCCTTTATTTGTCCAGTTTGAGGCGGATATCTGCTAGAAAGAGTCAAAATTGTTGTTTTCCATTTTGCCTCCAGCAGCTCTCTAGTATTGACAAGCAGTTGTTTCTGTGATCGAACTGTGTATTGGGGAAAAAGAATCCAAAAGTTTAATGTTTCAGTTTCAAAACATTTTAGTCTGTGATCTAGAAACTGGCATGGTGCAAGTTTCTTCATTCCTTTTCACCTTTTTGGCCATTTTCAGCGCCGGTTAGACAGCAGGTGGCAAAAACAAAACAAGCTACCAGGGGCAACTCTCATGCAGTGTTTTTGAGTTGGCCTGACAGCGACATGCCTTGATGAAATTGCAATTGGGCTTAGACTTAAATAGAGCAATAAAAAGAAAGATTGTTTCTAGCTTTCAAGAACATTTGTGTAACAATTGTTTCTAAGAATACACAAGTGCATAGAAATGGTAGATTGCCCTGGTTAAATCTGGATTGTAGAGAAATATATTTTGATTCAAAGTATTTGTTTTGGCTTTTAATTCAAGTTAACTGGAATTAAATAAGTGTTAGTTAATAAAATGGTAGATTTTCTTTATTTTGTTAAAGGTATGACCTTATCTAAGAAACAGGCTTATTTTAGTTGTTACAATGAGTTGCTCTATATCATTTTCCTAAAAAACTAATTATATCCTTTCACTACCTCTGCAGTATCACTTCAATCCTTCCCAATCAATCCTTGTTATAGAAGGAGATGACATCGAAAATATTAATCAAGCTCTCCAAAAAGTCTCCTATATCAACTCAAGACAGTTTCCAACTTCAGGTATTCGCCGCCTTAAAGTGTCATCCAAAGTCCAGTAAGTTAAATTCACTAAGCTTGATAGTAGAAGCAATGCATCAGTAAATTCTTGTTGAGGACTTTTTAATTTTGAGATAAATGAAAGAGTTTTATCAGCAACACTTATCTTTTAATATATTGGCCTGCAGCTTAATTGTTACAATGACTATGATTTATTCCTGCATGCCCATGGAGTTCTGGGATGTGTCGAAAATGGCCTCCTGATGCATTCAGTATAAAATGGGCAATTAGGTTCTCAATGCACATTTAACAAGATAGCTTTATCAAACCTGTTAAGTATCAGTTTGAGTTTGTAATTAAAAATACATTCACCATTTAATCAGATTTAACCATTGACTGTTTGTTATGTTATTCATGAGTTTAAGTTGTATGGGTGCAATGACCTTTGTAAAGATCATACCTGTCAATCCCATGCTGGGCTGTTCATGAATAATTTGAGAAACTGTATTTTAATTCCCATATGGAACTGAGTTATCCTGAAGCTGGTCAGTGAGTAGGCATTAAAAACTTAAGTGTGCAGAGATCCCAATATCTTTGGATAAATATTCTGTTTCAACTGTGTGTTTCTTAAGAAAAGAGTGAAGCTTAATCTTCCATGAAGTTAAATGGTATATTTTTCAGATGTTTTGGTGAAGATACATGCATTAGTATTCCAGACATAGATACCTATGTAATGGTGTTACAAGCCAAGGAGCCCAAGATTACAATAACTGGAATGGATCACTTTGCAAGACCTGCCACACAATTTGAACATGAAAGAGGGGTGATTCTTTTACCAGACATCAGAATTGTCAGCACGGTTTCTAAAATGGAACATCCCTCTGACCTGAAGGAAACTGTGACTAGAGGTTTGTTGGGTTTGTTTGTTTTTTAGGTTTATGATTTTCATGTCTTAAGGAGAACTTAATACCAAATATAAATGAATAGAAACAGCCTCTGCTAAGATGTTTGTAATCTTGGAAGAAGATTGTTTAAGGCAAGGTAACATGTTCTATGCCTCTTAAATATTGTCCTTCAGTAAAGTGCATAATACATTGGAGAAGTAGCAGCTTATTTTATTTCAGCCTTCTCCTGCTTGGTACACTCCAGCCAACAAAGTGTACATCAGATAAGCACTGATTTAAGGGGGAAAAACAACTTTTTTTAAAAAAACAACTATTCCTTTTTGCTCTGTCCTTTGTGAGCTCTGGAGAGTTAGCATTGACAGTGCTGTCTTGTGTAACATTTATAACTACTATAATTAAAATGCCATGGTAAAAGTTTCCTGTACTTTCATCCCTTGGATAATATCAACCTGAGCAGAGCAACCTTGGTTGTTAATTTATTTATAATAATTATATTTACTTATAATATTTACATTTATTTATAATATTTACTGATTTTCATTTTTAAAATAGTTGATTGGTTAAAATAAATACCAGAAATGGCAGTAAAATAGTAATAGTATAAATAGTAAATATTGAAACCACAACTAATTAAAATCCTCATTAAACTATAATAATTGGAAAAGTCTGTAGGGAAGATAGCAGTTTATTATAACTTATGCCTTGAAAAGTTGTTATATATGCACCATGATAAGGAACATCATAATGAACTAAGTGCAGCAGTCTCGGAATCACTTTGAAGAGAGGAGCTCTTCATATAACGTGTGATAGAGCAAAGTAAAATTAAGCAGTTATCAGTTAGATGCCAAATATAGATTTTAGAGTTAACTAGGTAACTCTTGTTATTGCCTTGTTATTGCTGAACAGCTGAATTTCTTCCAATTGTATCAATTTGTTTTAATTAAATAAGTGGCTCAGGGACAGATAGAAAACAGAAAAGGAAGCTAAACAATGTCAGTAAGCTTTTTGGTGTATCACACTAGTGAAAGAAAGTTTATGTGAACCAATTTCTCTGAGTGTATTAGAACTAGAAGCAATAGTTGTTGCCAAAGCTGCACCCCCAATAATTTCTTTTATTGTAAACACTATGACCTAATTATTATTGGTGGTAAAGTGATAAAACCTAAAGATTTTCTTTGTTTGCAACAAAAGGATGGGCACATAAATATAGTTAATAATTTAACCTTATTCAATTCCATGTTAAGAGAGGGAGGGAGAAAGGAAGGGAGGGAGAGAGGTGGGTGGGTGGGTCATCTGTCTGAAGTGATAGAAATGGATATCCTTGGCCTTTATTGTAAAAGATAATTCATTTAACTGATGACACGCAAAAGACATTTTAGTTGGATTCACACATCTCAGCCATGCTCAACAAAATTGCATTTTGATTTAGAATGATGTACAAAAAGTCATTTTTCCATGACTACATTTTATGACCAGTTGGTGAATTAGTGTTGGAAAATCTTTGGGATTATTGGATTTTTTTCAGCATTATTATTTTAAAACTTTGAGGAAGCTGAAATCTTTAATGACACACAGTTTTGTTTTTCTAAGCTTTTTATTCTTAGTTGCTTAAACAGTGTTCCTTGTAGTGCTCAGGAATAATTCATTATACCCACTTATGCACAACCTTCTGCTCTGTATTACAAATAAACACATCACTTAATAATGGTGCTCAGCTTCTCTGTGTTATGTTATTAACTATAATAAGAATTTTTAAAGCATTTTGCATACACATACACATTTCTTTCATAACAGTCATTACTGAATGATGGCATTTTTATCAATATAGTATTTTCCCTGAGAACGAGTTTTCAGCATGATCAATTTTCATTAATATGGAAAACCATGTTTAAGCTTTACTTCCTAACACCCAACACCTGCAAATATGTAAATAATACTGTCATAGGGATCAATACCAAGCTGATCAAGGGTTATTTCTTAGGGAATATGAAAACAGTTACAGCTGAAATACAGTGATGGTTCATGTACAGTACTTGGTTTATATAAAGACGCTCTGCATATTTGGTAAACATTTTTTATTCTAAATAGAGGTAGCTGAAAAGCTCTTCTGTATAGTGTCATCATTTTTAGTGATAATATTCTTCAAAATTCAAAAGTCATATTCCATATGTAGATTAGCAGAAACACTGGCAGATCATATTTACAGTGGATATGCAGGAACAGTATTCAGTTCATTGTAAACTATTAAATAAGACCAGAGTATACAAAGTATTGTGGAAAAAGTTTTTAGATAATCTGTGAATAAAACTGTGAATTTAATAATTCTAGAAATACATATGTTGCCACAGCAACTACTCCTCCATCTTCATCATCTCTTCCTTCCTTCCTTCCTTAGAGATAAAATTAAAGTTTTTTTATTAGATGCAAATTTGTCCAGAAATAGAAACCATTCTTAATGATTTGATTGTATTCATACAAGTTAAAAGTGATACAAGACCTCTTTGTGTTTTTTTTAATGTCCTAAAATAGTAATATTGAGAAAGATAAATGTGGTACCAAATTACATTCCTAAATTATATTAATTTATGAAGGTTTTTGTTACTAACTGGAGTTCGGCAAAGAGGAGAAGCTGACATACTATATATGGACATAAATATATCCTCTTGACATTAAGGAATGGATTAAAGATATGAGTCATGCATTTTTGAAAAATCTTCATTTTCTAAAAATGACAGGATGAACCAAAACACTTATTAATTATCTATATTTAATGACAAGCTAAAGGATGGAAATAGTACTAAATGGATATTTTGTGGATATTTTGATTTGTTCTTTTTCTCCATTTATTTAGTTTATTTAGTTAATTATTTAGACATTTAATTTATTTAAATATTTAGCTCATTTTAATTGCTAAAATGAATGTAGGATTTTTTTAAAAAAAAATATTGTATAACTACCATATCTTTTGCTGGTAATAGTGATTGATATTGTAATTATTTCCCTTTCAGTGGGGATGTGGATTTGTATCTCTGTTTATCTATCTAAATACACATCTCAGAAGGATTTATGACTACTGAGTTAATATTAATACACATTCACTAAAAATTAGCATAATCATCATTATGTCATTCTGTTTTGCCTCAGAAGGTGACATGACAGTACTAATCAATCTTGGTTCATCTGCAAAGCTAAGCAGGCAGGGTGAGCTCCAGTTAGTACTTGGATAGGACATCTGAGATTTTGAGGAAATTGGCAACCCAAACAGAACACTTTGAAAAAGGCTACAAGACTTTTTCAAAAAAAAAAAAAAAAGGTACAAGACTTCTGTAATATTGCCAAGTAAAGCACCTGGATGCTGTCACCCAGAATCAAGTCTCTTTCTAAATTAACAATTCAATTCTGTACTTTTGAAAGGCAGTTTTGCATATACTATTTTTGTTCTTTTCAGTCATGGACTGAAAATTGTACACTATTTAAGGTCAACTGAGTATAGTGCCCTGTAAATAAATTATACTTTGAAAAGGAACATTTTTTTAATATGTTATTTGACATTTTATTATTATTGTTGACAGCACACAAGCCAGTTCTGTTAGAAAAAGTGGATCACAATCTGGATTTTTGTGATATTTTGGTAATTGGATTAGAACTGGATCCCAAGCAAGAGTGTTTGGAATTGGACAAGAAAGACCTCCAAGGGAAACATATAGAAGCTACTAACTCTACAGCAGGATATTCAATATATGGTTTGAGTATTATTATTTTTTTCATTTCTATATCTTATCCTAATCTAATACTCAATAAGTTTATCTTAAATTAATATGGCTATGCTGTACCTAGCTTTTTAAAAAAAAATAATAATAAAATGCATCAGCATGGCAGCAGTTAGAAAGCAGTTTGCTATGAGGAATTCCAGATCCATTGACTGTTTACCCTATTAAACAGGATGATTCATCCTAATCTTTATCTGAGTGGATATTATTGATTACAGAAAATAGATCAAAGAACATGTACTACATTGAACTACATTTCCTAGCATCTATTACCATAGACCATGCTGGCTGAACCACTAGGAAGTGCAACACTACATATCTGAAGAACCATGTTCACATCTTTTTATTATAATAAAGCAGAATATCTCTAGATTATTGAGATACACAGAATTTGTAGTCTTCATATCATTTGCAAATTATTGTGAAACTGCCTGAAGAAACAGTAGCATGGAATTAAGGGTAGTAATAATATGTATTTACTTCTGGTAAATTTTCATAATTGTTTTTTTTCCTCTTTTTCCTGACATTTAATGTGTTTTATATTGTTTTACTGGTTCAGGTGTGGACACTATGAAAAACTATGAAAAGGTTTTACGGCAAATTCGCTATCGTAATTGGCACACATCTTCCTTTTCTGATAGAAAGTTTAGAATCAAATGTTCAGAACTCAATGGGCGCTATACCAGCAACGAATTCAATTTAGAAGTAAGTAGCATTAAAAAAAACAATCACAATTTATTTTTATATTAGAAAATAAAAGGCACAGAGGCAGTGTTTGGTATCTATTAATATAACATAATTTTCAGATAATTTAGTGAATATGTAGTTATTTCTCAATATGTTATTAGGTATCAATGCAGACATAAACACAAGAAATAAATTAAGATACTATAATAGAGTGTGAGATTGATTTCAGGAAAAGGATAGAAATATTGGCTATGAAACAATCAGGCAAATGAGTCAGAACCCTCAGTAACTTAACATCAGAGTGTTCTGATATTGCTCACATAAGCATACATCACAAATGAGGTCAAAGTTTTATTTGAGGTTTTCCACACCAAATAATTTTCCTCAGAAATTCCCAACAACCACACAATCCCCCAACAGTTCACAGTTCAGTCCAGGAACAAGCCCAACATAAATTTGCAAGGCAGGACATGTCCACAAGGTTAAGGCAAGTCTGTGAGGCAAAAATTAGTCCATGAGACAGGCAAAATCTGTGAAGCAAGTCCAGAGGTCAAGGCATGATCCAGGGTCTAAGGTACACCGTCTAGTCAGGAAACAAGGTTCAAGGCAAAAGGCATGGAAGTTGATAAATACAAGCCAAGGAAATGGACACATTCCCAGTGTTGTTTCATTCCACTTCCTCAGCTAAATAGCCACTTCTCAGCACATCCATCAAAAGGGGCAAAGCTCCTGCCTTGCAAGTAGCCTGGCTGACCTACTTGCTTTCTCTCAACCCTACCCACTCTTGGATCAGGAGGAAGAGGCTATTTTTCCACATCTCTGCTGATCAGCTGTAGTTGCATGCCTTCTATCTGTACTTCTGAAACCTCTGGGTTTCCCAGCTGTAGCTATGTCTTTCATGTCCATAGCTCAGAAAGCTATTCATCCAGTCACTACTTTTGAAGTGACTCTGTGGTGCTTGACACTTCAGACTCAGAGCATCTGGCAATCTCTAGATGTTCCTCCACATCTTGCTTCGACAGTCCTGGAACTGGCTATTCCTCATCTGAACTGGCATCTGGAAAGGCGTCTGGGCACTTTTTCAGGGAAGCCATCACATGGTACCATCACACAGAGAAAGAAACTTAGAAAGGACTGCCTTAATGGATCAGGCAATTAAAAATGGTGGCTGGAAGTTTTGTGCTTTCAGATTTGCAGGATCCTATAAATATATTGTTGCAATAAAGTAGATATATTCCATCTACTCACATTTCCAATCTGGTTTACCTACGAAGGCTGACAGATACTTTCTCAAAGTCATTTTATTAATAATTTTTCACTAGTACATTTTTAAACCAGAGATTAAAATGAGATTATTCTTTATTTATAAAGAACAAATTTTCCCTGCCCCTTGTTGTTTCTTTTAAACTGATATAGTCAGCATTCTTGAGGGATTGCTTCTCGTATGTGTGAAATATAGAACTCTGTGCAGGAGACACATTTTTAAATGAATACTTTGGGATAGGATTAAAAATAGTGCAGAAATACTTGCTATGATATCATGTGCTTGTCCCAGATTATTAGAGCTCTGATTTATGCTGAGCACCACATACTACATTAGGATTTCACCTAAGAACAGCTAGTGGGTAATCTGGACAACATAAATGTCAATTGTTTGTCACGATCAGATCTCTATGGAGTTTTCAGCCACTACTGACTTCTATTGCATTATCCATTACTGCCACAAGCTCCTTATATATTATTGGGACATTCCCCATGGAATTCCAGAAACACAAAGTGGATATCTTGTGTTTTTGGAATTCCATGAGAAATGTTCCAATAATCTGGCAGGCAGCTTAATAGTAGAGTACCTAAATTTAGCAAGGTTTGAGGAGAGTCACTTGGGACAATGTTAGCAGAAGGCAAATGAAATTGCATTCATTGCAAGTTTGCTCACTGTGTATTTGTTTTGTGGAACCTACAGACAATAGATTGCCTACACTCTTTATGTTTATTATTTCTAGTTATTCATTGAACTTGGGGGTTTTGTAACTTGGGATTTTTTTTAGGGAATATTGCTGCAACAAGTTAGTTGTGAAATATACTCTCCAGCGTTAGTTGACTGGCTTGCTGTATTCCTGATCCAATTGATTAGGCCCAGATAAACTAATCTCATAGTTCTTTTTCAGCCCTGAAACTCTATGAGAATCTGTTTTTTTTAATAATTATTTCCTCTGATTTAGTTGGTAAATCTGAAAACATCACCCTATGGATTAAGTGCTCTCATATAGAGAAAATGCAAATTGTGACCTGATAATACTCTCAGCTTGACTATTATGCAAAATATGATTAGTATTATTGTGAATACTTCGTATTTGTAATATTAGTTTCTGTTTCCTTCTAGATTAATATTCTACATAACTCCAACTCTAATTCCATGGAATATACAAATCTTATGATAAAAGAGCCACAATTTCTCCAATCTATCCATCACCCAGAAGAAAGCACAAATAATATTCAAAGCTCAGGTATTACATTGGAATCTGAATTCCTGTAACTTATTATGGTAGGATAATTGTATTTGCAAGACTCTGTTTATATAGCTTTACAATAAAGTAGATTTAGCTCATCTGGTTGTATTTCTGGTCTGGTCTATGTGGTAAAACTGACAGTAATCATGCAAGTCTGAAAGTACAATTCTCCTGTCCTCTGCTTTACAATCTGATAAATTGAGGGACTCTTCTGAAGTTTTTGTCCTGCCTGTTATCTAGGCTATACTGCCTCTTTTGTTATCATTCCATAGGCAGCATTTCTTTCTCCCAAGATCTTTCCCACATACTATTGAACATCCCCAAAAGGAAAGGAAACAAGTCTTCTTTCTCCTTCCTGATCCTTTTAAATGAATATTAATATCATATCTTCCCTTAAGGCTATTCAAGATAAGCATGCAGCACCTGTTTCCTTAACAATTTCTCACGATTAAAGTTTTCAACCCCCTCCCCTGCCCTTCGCAACACAATGGTATGCATTCCTTGTTGTTGATGGTGTGGTATTCTTTTCTCCTTGCAGCTTAGTGGCTGCTCATCTCCAGCAAAATTAGAAAAAAACATAAAAACAACCAAAATCTTAAATCAGACAGCCAGACTAAAATAAATATCCTTTTTTATCTTTTTTGGACTGCAATAGCCAGAACTAGATATATTTTCCCAGTAGGCCTTAACAAAGGAGAATATAGTAGAATAGTTGGCCAATTTCCCCTCCCTTGGACTTTTGGCTAGTTTTAATACACCCCAAAATAGTATTTGATTTTTGTCAGCTGCATCACATTGTTTGCACATGTGCAGCCTCTGATCCACTAGCACATCCAGATTCTTTTCATACATATTACTACCAAACCAGGTCTCTTGCACCTGTTCTTGTGCCTTTCATTTTTTTTCACTTCAGATGCAGGAGTTTTTATTTCACCATATTAAACATATAATTCATTTTGACCCAGTGTTCAACCTGCCTAAATCTTTTCAATCATCTTTTTCTGATTGTTTGCTTTAGTTTTGTGTGATCTGTAAACTTGATAATTGTCTCCTCAAACATTTCATTCATGTTATTAATAACATTTTGAACAGCACAAAGGTAGTATTCCATTTAATACTTTTCTCCAAGTTAATTTAAAACCATTTGTAAGTCCTTTCTATTTGCTGGCATTCAGCTGATTGCAAATCAATATATAACATAGCTCTTGTTTTACCATTTTATTGATAAAGATATCATTAGAAATTTGTTGAATGTGTGGCTGAGATCAAGTTACCCATGGCCTTCACCTCACCTATTAACTCTGGTTAAATTTGATTTAGTTATTTTCAGCCTATTTTCTTTCTCCTAGCAAGATAATTTTGAAGTTAAGTCAAACATCCAAACTTGTTTTCCTGGTAAATTTAATATGTGCTTCTTTCACCTCCTCAACTAAATCATTGATAAAAATATAAAAAACTGAGGAATAGCACCTTATCAGGCAGCTGGGATAGGGATCAAGCCCAAGAATCCTGTTCCTTCATCAAGATCTACAGGCTCAAAAACCTCCCAGATAACATTTCCAGGTGTCACCTCTATCAGCTGATCAGATTCTATGCATCCAACTAAAAGCAAACATGTATCATTTTATGCACACAGCAACCCATTAATGATTTTTTTTGGCCCACCCTTCCCTACCAGGGTCCAAATCCAATAAAAAGTGCCACATTCCATGAAAGCTCTTAAGTGTGGAAAAGTACTGACCCTTCACCATCAATATGGCCATGATGTAAGCTCATATTTGAGCTTATATATGCATCTGGTTATGTTCAATGTTCCAGTTTCACTAGTATCATAATGAATTGTCACTTGACAGAGAGCGGGAGAGGCGATTTGGAGCAATCCTATCTAGAACATTCATGTCATACATATGCCCAGCCAGATGCCCAGCCAAACTGCCCTCCCTGCATTCCAAGGGAATTCAGTCCAAATCAAACAGACTATTCTTTGTCTAAACACATCTTGTGATGTAGAACTCTTCTCTTGTAAACAGTTCATCATCAACACAACTTAAACCATGATCCAAGAAACAATATATTTTTCCTCAACGCTATTTGCATAGCCAGTAATTGCAGCATTTTTCTTTCCTTTTCCTATCCTATTCCATGAAAATAATGCTTCCACACTCAGGGCCTTAAGTTTTCTTCCAAGGTTTTCAAAATCTGTGGCAATGTGCTTATAGCTGCTTCTTGAAGTATTATATGTCAACATGTGCCCTAGCAGGAAGGATTAATTTTTGCTGGACTTAATTAGAATTGAAAGCTGTTCTGTTCTGTCCCTGATCTATGCTAGTGGCACAAGCAGTCTTTACAAGCCATTGAGTCTTATCGACATAAACTTGTTGCAGTTCTTCATATTAATGAATAACAATTTCCCCCAACGCTTTTTCTTTCTCTTAATAGTCACATTCTGTCTGCCACTCAGGAACCTAGCATCCTAGTCTCTAATTCTGAATTAATTAATTAATTTCTGTTGTGACCCCTGCTTTCTTTCTACTCATAAATCATTGTGTTTTCTTATCAGCTTACACATCTCTGTTTGCTTCTTTCCCTAGACTTTTTCTTCAATGCTTAATGTCCTTGCATTGGTGTTAAATATATGCCAATTGTTTTCTGGCAGGAAAAACAAACTTGTCATTGGTATTACAGGTGCTAATCATAAACTCATGCCCGTTCATTGGTGCTTTTACTTCTTAAAGCATCATTAGAGAGTTTTTATTCATTCTTTGTCCCTTCTCAAACTTTTGGTTTAATCAAGTACAAACACATGATTTATGAAGATGTATTGTGGGTGCCTCATTAAACTCCCTTGCCAACTTCTTCTTACCTCTTCCTTTTTGTTTGCTCAGTGAGCTTGACCTGAACAAAGAGTATGGTGGCACCAAATAAACTATTCCCTAGATTTTACATGTGCACCTCCTTCTAGAATCCATGCATACAAAATGAGTATGTGAGGATACTTCTGTATAAATAGTTTTATGCATTAAGACCCCCTCCATACCAATGATGATATTGTGTATGTGATTCTGTTGAAAGACATATTCTCCATTTACATATTCACTGACTCTGAGTAGTTTCTGGAACTCAAGAACTGGAATTATAAAAGAATAGTAAGGGATTCTATACACAAAAGACAGTTTAAATGTGATAATCACCTATAGATGAAATTGCAATTGGTTTTTTTTTAAAAAAAACTCTGTATTGGAGAATTGTATTGTTATCTTTTTTGTAATGGTTTCTTTTAAGTTCAACAACAAAACAAATGTAACTGCAGTTACATTTAGGTATCATTATGAATACAGAAAATTGCTATAATTATAACAAACATAACAGCTTTATTAATTAAGAAAACACTAAAAACACTAAATATACCCAAGTGGCACTGGAAGAATATGTTAAATTGACCCATTTTATTTCATTTCAGTACTTCCAAGTATGGCTACCATCACCATCATAATCTCTGTCAGTGTCTTAGTCTTCATCATAGCTATGGGGGTATATAGAATTCATTCAGCTTGCCACCATACTTCAAAGGAACATGAAACTAATAAAGAAAATGAAATGGACTGGGATGACTCAGCTCTGACTATCACAATTAATCCCATGGAAGTAAGTAGAAAAGCCATGTTGTCCTATATTCCTGCTATCAGTCCTATTTTTTTTTTCATTTATGTGCAACCATCTTATTCAAAATCCCCTGATATTTACTAAATGTAGCGGGTGAAAAGAAAAACATCATTCCTACTTTTAGATTGGCCTTATTTCTGATTTTGGCATGTGTAGTAGATCTGAAAAAAGTATCTAGTACATCTAAAGATACATCCAGATACACCTAGATAGGATGTGCAGGATTCTATATTTCATGGCATTACTATATCAGATTTCATTGAAGTATATTTGGTTTAATCTTAACCTAGAAAGATGTAAATACTATTAGTACCAATAATATATTGGTGTTATGAAAATTACTTTGCATACATTTTAATGACAGTGCCCTTGTTTAGTCATTCAGAAAGGTCATGTTACATTTTTTTTTACTTGTAGCCTGGCCTTTTTTCACATGCTGAATCTACTAATGTATTATTGATGAATATCTCTGTATCAAAGCTACAATGAAAAAAATTAGTAGATGTGCTTGCTTAATCACGAATAGATGGTGACATTCAAGTTGGATTGTTTTACCTGATTAATTATTTAATATGATCTTATAGAAAAGATGTCAGGTCATATATAATTGAATGATAGAACTGCTTTTGTTGCTACATTTCATCCTTTAGTTTTTGTGAATTTTAGTAAGGGAGGTCACTTTCATTTATCTCTTGGTAAATCTTAATTTTAGTAAGGGAGGTCACTTTCATTTATCTCTTGGTAAATCTGTTAGTCTATAATTTTCTCAGCTGATAGTTAGCTCTATCAAATATGACTATATATATGAAGGGTGATTTCCTTTTCTTTTAGGTACATATAAACATGTACCAACCACACACACTCATTTAGAGATTTACAAATAAACCTTAGGTTCTTTTTTTCTTATCAGCAGCTCTATTTTATGCTTCTTTATAATACATAGAAATATGAACAACCTTGTGGAGAAGAAGAAAGTGATGAGGAAGAAATTGAAGATGAAGATGATACAACCAGTGCAGAGTCAGATGAGACTGAAGAGGAAGAAGAAGAAGAGGAGGAAACCACTGGGAATAAAGGAGACAAACAAAATACAACCAGGCAAGATCAGTTGGAGTGGGATGATTCAACATTACCCTACTAGAGTCTTTAGTTTTCTTTCTCTTTTTGTATAAACCAATACTGTGTATTTTGAGTCAATCCTACTGATTCAACCATATCTTGGATCTATGAATTAATTGACAGTTTAACTTCCTATTGACTGCAGATGATAAAACTGCATTGTCTGAATTTGATATAGTTGTATCACAACTGCTCCCCATAGTTGTTCCTTTCTTGATATGTCAGTAATAGCACCTGGTAAAGCACAGTATACAACTATTAAAGAGTCATTTGTAAAAAGGACACCAATCTGACATTAACATTTGTTATTGCTTCTCTAGTTCCCTGTTCCTTTTAAATGTATATAAGCAAACCCAACTCATCAAACTATAAAGAGGATAGTCCAGGTCACTTTTAAATTTTTCCAAGGTTCACACACATATATAAAATCTTTTTGGGATTCCTTTTAATTCTGCCTTGTTAAAGATCCTACCGTCAAAGATTAAAAAATGTACATGCTACGCAATGCACAGGACAAAATTCATTTGCGCATATCTTTATTTTCACTTTTTTGTTGTGGATATTTGATCTTTGCAGAGAGTTGCAAAACACACTAAACTGTATATGTCTGTGCATGTATAAGAATGCACTGCTAATGTCCAAAGTTTACTAAAAAGAATTCTTGTCTAGTCCCTCAATTAAAACTTAGTTAAAAGGCATGTAAACCCTATAAATAGAAACCTTTGTCTGTGATGGTTTTTCAGTGCCACACAGATTAAGAAATGTTTTCCTTTGTGTGAAGGATAAAACTAGAGTGTTACTGTGGCTAAGACTTTTTATCTTTAAAGAAAGTATCTTCTGAGAAAATGTAATTATAAATAATCATCCAGTTGCAGAATTTTATGGCAGCTCTGTACCATCACAGAGATTGCTTGGAATTCAGATATGTGCTACTGTATATGTAGGAATTTAAATATTATTTATAATCTCAGGAAAAAAAAACCCACTCTTTTGCATGTTAAAACACTCAAAGCTCTGAATGCATTGTTACAGGTGGAATAGATGTTTGATATAGTCTATTTATCATTAATATAAATTCTAGGAGCAAAACAAATAATGTCATAATAAAACAAATCATAGAAATTTTAAATTCCTCCACACTCTCCTTTTCACAGATCCTTCTCTTCACCAAAGATGTTTTGTTTGAAAAATTACAAAGAATTAAACACAGAACTTAATTTTTTTTAAAAAAAAAAAAACCTGGTAGCATTTGAAAACATTTGGTAAAGAATAATATTGGGTAGTTTGCATTTTTCCAGCTAACCACTATATTTTGAATATTTATAAGTTTGTGTGCTTTCTTATATATATTTTTTCAGTATTTGTAGCTCTACATTTGAATGCCAAATAGTGCAGTATTTGATGCTGTGCATGTTTTAAATCTATATAAATATAGGCATTTGATGAAGGAGCAAAATGTTTTGTATTCATATTTTCTTAAAGATTTTGGGGCTCTTGTTCCTTTTTAGTCCACCCATTGTTGATAAAAACTCCTGGTTTTAGTTCAACAGCAAATAAATTTGCATATAGAGTGCATGTGAAGATGCACTCTTATGATTACATAACTCACTGTCAAGCAAAAAAGTAACAAGAGCTTATTTTTATGTTTGTTTTTATTTTTATCATTGGTTTGAATGAGTGTCATTTCATCCTTTCATGTCAAGAATTACTCTATATATGACAACTTCCAAAACAGATCAGTGCTATCTGTGACTTTGAAAGAACTTTATTACTTTTTTTCTAGGAATACATTTTAGTAAAGAATATATAGGAAATTGTCTGTCATTATACCCTACTAACTAACAGCAACTGCTTACATTCTCCTATTGGAGAATTTTAATTAGAAATGACAAAGACTCTGTGTGCAAGATAGCTGCTTTACCACTAGACCATTACATGTCCTGCTATTGTGTAAAGTTTTGCATCATTTTAAATCTTGAAGGGCTAAAGTAAATCTCTTTGAGCAATTGCCTACATCTAATGAAAGTAGTTCTCATGTTTTGAATATGATGAAATTAGATTATTTTTTTCTCTAAATGCACATGGGTCTTTCATAACTGTGTAAGAGATCAGAAATACATTAAATCAGATGATGATGATGATAATGATGATGATGTTGATGACTCATATATATATATACATACATATACATACACATATCCATGACCATATCCTAAAGTAAAAAATAATTTCTAGAATGCAATAATATTTTCTCTTCAAAGTAAAATACATGATAAAGCTATTGCTTTATTTATTTTAACAACCTACAGAACCAGATATTACCTGAGATTAACTGAATTAAACTTTTCTACAATGTTTTTGTTTTATTTGAAAAATACAGCTGTTCTACAACTACCAAATTAGCTTTTATCTGATGACTTCTGAGGCAAATATTCACACTGACTCTTAATTTTATACCGTCACAGTGATCTATTAAACTATGTGGTGTTGCATCTGAGTGCAGTTTTACTCTGCAAAATAATATAACAAGTGAATCAAAACCCAAATATTAGGGGCTTTAGGCCTAAAATAACCTAAGATTGTGATTCACTTTAGATACGAAAATTGCTGACTGGGTAACTTTAGGCCAGTCACACTTTCTCAGCCCAGTCCACCTCACAGGATACGGGTGCTATCATCTTAAGTAAAGGAATTTTCCTTATCTTTCATGGCCATACTCCTAACATACAAGAAACTATTTCTACATTTTTATTTGTTTTGTATGAGTTAGGAAAACACATTTCCATCTCAGTCTGTTTAATTGTATGGGATAAAGTGTTTCTTTTAATTTTAGTAGATGTAATACTGAATTATCAACTTTAAATTTCTTTAAAACTGCCAACATTTTTTTACTGTGTTGACCACTACCCAATAAAACAGTTTGAGTGAAATAAAGTAAGACAAAAGTTACATCTTGAAGGAATCAAGGTGCCCTGTGGAAATACCAAAAATCTGTATGAGGACAATTACTACAAATACCTGGCCATCCTTCAAGCTTACAATATCAAGCAAATGAAGTCAAAAAATTGGTTAGAATAAAATACATCAAGAGAGTAAAGAAGATTTTAAAGTCCAAAGTCAGTGGAGGAAATACTATCAAGGCAATTCTTATCAAGAAGAGTTGGAGATTGCATGGCATGTTGCAAGCATATCAAGTGGTTAAAGAAGAAAAAGGAGCATTGGAAGGCTATCTGAAGGACAGTGAAGATGTTGCACTGACACTTCTATACCAGAAAAGCTTACTGAGTATTGGAAAGGCCAAACTACAAGAAAAACCAAATAAAAAATAAAAAAGGGACATGGGAAGACAAAGTATTAAATGATGAATACATTAAAATTAGCAGGCAAAGTAGATAATACCAAGACCTGGCAGTGGCTAAGAGTTGAAGAGGGGCTAATTTTGGCTGCAAAAGACCAAGCCTTAAGAATAAATGCATACAAAGTCAGAATAAAGAAGAAAGCAACAGACAAGCAGGTTCCGCTTTTGACAAACATTGAAGAAACAATAGACTACTTGGCTACCTGCTCTAAGATGATTGAACACCTAACTATAAACAAGCATGACAAAGATCTTGGAAGCATTGGAAGAGCTTCAAGAAATACCAATTACCTGCAAGCAAGAACTGGTGGGATCATAAAATAGGGAGAGTGGTAGAAAATGAAGAAGCTAAAGTGCTCTTGGACTTTCAGGTATAAATGGATAGGTATATGTCACATAACACCCCAGACATAGCAATTGTCTGTAGGAAAGAAAAAAAAAGTCTGCTTAGTGGATCTGATAATACTTGGAGACAGCAGAAGAGAAGAGAAAGAGCTGGAGGACATAACAAAATACAAAGACCTCCAAATAGAAATAGAATGTCTGTGGCAAAAGAAAGGAAAAGTAATACCGATAGTAATAGGTACATTGGGTGCAATTCCAAAACAACTGCAGCACAATAGAACACTATCAGCACTGACAAATTAACTATCATCAATTGCAAAGGCAGTTTTACTTGGAACAGATTACATTCTAGGATGATACCTTTAACAACATGAAACATCAACATCTGCCTATCTTAGGTCCTTAGGAAGAATGTAATAGGTTGGTAAAAATTAGAAATCTAATCTAAATATCTGGCTGACTGTATCACCAATCATCATCATAATAACAAAATTGAAATTGAAAGATTATAACATGAAGTGGCCATGGTACTACCAATGGTTATCAGCACACTGGATGTTATTGGACAGCAGAAATGTTAGACAAAATTTCCATCTATCAGTTGCAAAAGGCCACACTACCTGGCCACATGTATATATGCTATCTCAAGAAGAGATAGGTCTACCATTTGTCAGAAATGTAAGGTCTCCCGCTTTGGTGGGGGGGTTGGACTAGATGACCTATATGTTCCCTTCCTACTCTGATTATCTTTTATCTGTTATCTAATGCATTACAACATCCTAGATACTTGTTAAGAACTTGATGCATATAAAAAGTTATACCAGCTAAAGAATTTGCAGCTGTGACTTTAAACTGTTGTGAACAGATAATGAGAATAATGAGATTATAGGATGACAAAAATGCCAAATCCAGTCTAAACGTCTGGATGACTGAGCAAATGATCATAATATGTCAACTATTATTATGACTGTCAGGAAGACTTGAAAGAGAAGGTTAGAAGTAAGTTATCACGGAGAAAAACTATCCATGGGGCTGCTGTCAAAAATGCTTTGATGAAATGTAATCAATAAATCAATCACAGCCAACTATATAGATTATCTTTTAAATGCATTTATTATATTTATATTCAGCTCAATTTTCCAGGAGAAAACAGGGCATATATGGCACTATTTCCTCCAGTTTCTTCCTACAATGATCTTATGTGATGTGTTGTTTCTTTACCAAGTATTTCCATTGAAATTCTATGACTAAGGATAGATGTGGACCTAGTTCACTAACCTTTGTCCAGTACCTTAAATCTGTACAAACACTAAAGCTAATGTTTTCTGCACCTAAAATGCTGTTTTATGCTAACTTATTTTACTAGGCAAATAGCCAGATGCAGTTGTGCTATCCTATCAGCTAACAATTTAATGTTGATTTGAGTTATTTAAACTCTCTGTACATATTTAGCAATAAACCATAAGGCATGCTATTGAAGACATATCTCAATTAGTATAACAGTATATTTATGGCTACATTTCTAAGATTGTTAGAATTTGGCTGACAAATACAAGCAATTAAGTCATTAAGTCATCAATATGAGACAGGAAAACAATCCAGACTTTGCCAAATCAAGTACAAATACTGGAAAAATCCGAGAATAACAACACCTCCAACAAAAAAAAAAAAAATCAAGACTTTACAAATGAAAGAAACAGGATTTTTGTATGAAGAAATCTTGGCAACGGCAGCACATTTATTCATTGGATCAAAATAGAAAGTCTGTATAGATCAGGTTTTTTTTTCAACTTTGGATTAGTCCAACCGTGTTAGGACTGAAACTCCCAGAATATTGGGCTGGCATGAGACCATGAACTCTGTCAGATTTCAGAAGAATATTTCTGACAACAGCTAAGATTTGAGCACTGTGAGACTCTGTTTAAAAAGGTTGTGTATGTAATGGTAGATGGGAAAGTGGGAGACTGAGCAAAAAGATGCTGCCAAAGGAAAGGTCAGATATGAGACAGCTTAGTCCATAGC